AGCTATCTATTGGTCAAGCAAACAAAGTCAGGGGTCAGAGTTCACCAAAATTGCTATTTTTATTCACATATCCAAATGCTGGTGGAATGAGGCCTTTACTCTGCTGTTAAAATGGTCTTCAGGTGAATGTGGTAAAGAATAATTTGCTGTAAAACGTTCTCCTTCTCACCCCCTTGTTTTCAAAGGTGGGTGGCTGAAATGGTCTCGACCATACAGATAGAAAGACTGAGGTTGATTAGGACTAACTTCCTGAAAAGACCTTCCACCATTTGGAGCCCATTCCTTGCTCACCTGGACAGCTTTAAAGCTGGATCCAGCAAAGAAACTCATAATCTTGGCCTTTTCAAGTATACCATGTAACACACCTAATGTATAGAGTGGGTATTTTTTTGGCAAACTTTTAGTCTTTTGGGGAGAAAGTTATTGAAAACACTACAACTTCCCTTCATTCTGTTTATACTTTATGTTCATCTGGATCACAAATGATGCCACAGAAAGGCTGGCATTTCTTATGGATATTTATGCAGAGAATCAAACAGAATCACTAACAAATCCTGAGTCAGTGTTTTCCTAAATATTCACACTTAGTTTGTGCATGAATATTCAGCTCTGCCTCATTATGTATGTAAAAATGTACCTAAATTTGTTGTTAAAGATGGTATCGAGTGTGAAACTTAACAGAGCAAACTAAATGGAGACACTCTAATTAGAGATTAAGAGATCCAGCCAGGATGAACTCATAATTAAAAATCATCCACACACTGATAACAACGCTCACTCTGTTAGAGCTTTATTCACACCGGAACAGCTCCCCTTTCCCTCTCTGCTCATTCTCATGCTTCTGCCCTTTCTGCTTTTCAAAACTCTATTCAGCCTTTGTCTAGTTTTGGAAGTTGCCAAGGCAAAGGAGAAACCCTTCCATTGATGTCAGTGTGATGCAAAGGTAACGTGTTGCTCCTCTACGGGGATCACTGCTTCACAATCGGATGACAGCTTTGACCGGCTAACTTGGCAGGTCCGAAATAGAAATTCCTCTGTGACCGGTTTTTGACAGAGGAGGGGAAAATGGTTGTGGATAGCATTGAGAGCTCCACTGGGAGTCAGTGGCTGAATGAGTGCTCGGTCAAAGAAAAGCAGGTTTTGAAAGGTTTATTCCACTTTGAACCATTTACTACTTTCACCTGATTTGTTTGGCTGAGTGTGAGTGAAGCCATTTGGACTTTAGTGACACTACCGTACTGATGAACCACAAAATTCAACTACAACTGGCTGTTTTCTGCAGTTGGGGCAGTTTATGTGTTGTTACGCTGTATTAATGTTACAGTTGAATACCACAGCGGCTACAAACCATATGACAAGAACAGCCTAATGGTTATGCCAGTAGATGACCTTAGTAGTGAAATCCCTTAAATACAATCTCTACATTGTATTCGAGACCCCCCAAAAATCCCAGAATGCACTACAGATTATTTGGACACAAGAAGCAGCTCTGATATTGAGAAAAAAGTAGAAGATTGAAAGAGAAACGTGAGCATTTAAAAGCTGGATCTCTTTCTCGCTTCTAAACTTTGAGAATTTATGTTACGTGTCTCCTTATCTCTCTAATTCCCCCGCTGTTGTCGGTGTTTGTGTTAACTCTCAAGGTGTAATGATAAGTCTCATAAGTCCTTCCAGCGACCAGAGGCCTGCTGTTTCCTCTCTGCGTGTTTCTGCATATCTCAGGTTCATAGAGTTGTGAAATCGTTCTCCTGTCTGATTTGAACATTAGACAGCCAGCTGGTCTCTCTGTGTGCGGTGTGCCCACGGGCCACCGAGGTGTGTGACACTCACGTTGGGTGTGTGTTAGCGCATGGTGTGATCTCTTGTTTCTCACAGACTATGGCATCAGCGTTATCTGATTCTCCTGCTGTTTGCTCTCAACAGGTTTTTTATCTTTTGATTCCCCTGCTGTCTCTACTCACAGCAGTTTTTCATTATCAGATTCTCCTGTGGCCTCTCTCTGCATGCCCTCTCCTCTCTGTTTCCGGGCTTTTTCTTGACCGTCCATCATCAGCTGAATGCAACCAAAAGCTTCTCTCTCATAAATGCATTCACTTAATATTGGGCACTCCACCTGATCTGTCGATTGTGATGCAGTAACCTCGTCCCCAGGTGGTTTTGTCTCACACGGGTTGGTCTGAAGTTCCTGCTGCGTGTTGAGTCATGATTGCTTTGACCTACAGTACCTTGAATTGTGTAAAGCCAGTAGCTAAGTTTCCAATGAAATGAGGGGATAAATTGTGATGTAAATAAGAGAGCACCAGTCAAACCTGAAACGGTAAAAGTCCAGCCCAGTGTTTTCATGGCTTCACACTGATCTGATGTTTTAATCTGCCACTATCTTTTGTCTCTTCATTGGAAGCATGACATTTAAATTGTGTGCCACGTATGCTGTGACATTTCTTTTGAACTTCTTTGCATTTTGTTTTTACAGATAACACACTAGCGATACCAGAAAATTAAATACTGCATAACATGACACAAGTAGTTTTTACAGTTATAATTACCTGCTTTTATTTTGAGTGCCAGATGCATATCGCTGAAGCCTTGATTCAGTGTTTTCCCCTAATGCTCTCAGTTCAGCAGTCGTTACAAGTTATTAATCAAGAACATGAATTTCCACTCCAACATTAGTTTCTGCGACATGATCTCCTGGGAGAAGCTTGATAATCAAACTGAATTGCAATTGTTCCGCTTCATTATTCACTTTGCTAATTACTCGTCATTTTACTAATAGCCATTTACTATTTCAGTGAAATTAAATAAAAACTCACTTGTATACAGCTTGATAGTAGTTTAGAGGACTGTGACAAATAAACAAAAAGCAAATAAATCAATTAAATTTGATGTGCTTTTATTTTTATGACTGGTTCCGTAGTTCTTATAACTACGGGAGGACACGCTCCACACGGTGGGACCAGGATCCTCTGCTGTCACACTGAAGCTAACACTGGCCTAATAAGTATAAACTATATTAGGTTTGCTTTTGCCACTACACTGTTTTTTTCATTTTCTCCTCCTCTGCTTCACTGTCCAGTATCTGATGGTCTTCACAGATTTATCTGAAGGAGAGAGAGATCAACAGACAGGTAGTATGAAATTAATATTAACTTAATTCAAATAACATCACTTCTTTTCTTCCATGTCGCTCTATTCTCTGTGCATCAAAAACTACACAACAAGCAACCCCGTGAGCTGACCTCTAAAGTGGCTGTTAAAAGCTAACTCTTCTTACGGCGTGGGATGTCAGAAGTCTCTTCCATCATGTTGCATAACTCAAATTCTTTCAGTTTGCACAAGAGCTCACAGATCTCATCCTCCACGCTCCACACGGTGGGACCAGGATCCTCTGCTGTCACACTGAAGGCATCCAGAGGCTGATACTTAGTTGCCTGCAAACATCCTGATGTCGTCCTCCCTGCTGGAATTTCAGCCTGCTCAGTGGTTGATCTGTTTTGATCCACAGTGTCACTCCAGTCCTTATGAGAAGCATCTGTCCTGGTAGTGATGAGTGAGTTGAGCTGGTTTGGTTTGGGATCAGCAGGAGCCCAGATATTCTGGTTATCTGTGGTCTTGTCATGGATAGAGGGGAAATAACTGACAGCAGCCATTTTGCTCAGAGAGTGCATTGTTTTTGTTTAGATTCAAAGAGGGGGGCATCCGTAACTATGGTTCTAGAACCAGAGGCACTTATATGTTCAGCAGCAAGTTGCCATGTTATGTAGTCTGCATCTCGTGGCAGTTCTTTGGCATTTTTTTGAAAATGCTCTTCTTTGCTTTCTTGCTGAGAGTTTGATGAGAAGATCAGTACCACTCTGACATTTGGCTAGTAAGGTTGTATTCACTTAATTGTGGTAAAAACAACTTTTCCTTCCTCATTACTGTGGTGAAGAGCTGCAGTGATTAGCTAAACAGTCAAACAGTTAGTTGATGAACTGAAACAACTACTGTAATGAAACTGAATAACTTTTTTACTTTGTGACATTTGCTGGTTCCAGCTTCTGAGATGTGAGGATGTCCCTACTTTAGACATGACAGTAAACTGAATGTCTTGTTTTGTTAGTGGGACTCGGCATCACCATGTGCCCTGGAAAGTTTTAGAAGGCATTTTCACATTATTTTTACATTTTACAGACAACTGATGAATCAATAATGAAAGTAATTATTAGTTGCAGCCATCATGCAATGTGTCAGCTGTACATGGCTGCCCACAGAGCACCCTGCAGACTGGGAGTGCACCAAAAATTCAGAACACTGACCTGAGCTGCACTGACCTTCGCCGGCTCAGCCAATCACTGCTGACCACAGTTTGAACTGAAACACAAAAATGAACAATTAGCCTACCTTGACCTACGTTGCTGTACAATAACAAATTAGCATCACATCCAGACCAGACAATGAAAGATCAGTCTGCTTGTTTAAAGTACAAAAATTATGTTTGCACCTCTGAATATAACAATCCACTGCTAGCAACACTAGCATGGCAGTCAAGGGGGCACTGCACTATGACTGGTAAATATTGCCCTGACCAGTCCGGATTGCACAAGTGAAGTTGCCATGCAGTCCACTCAACCTGGAAAACCAAAACTTTATGCTTGTTTTTAGGGAATTTAGAAATGTCACTGTGCTGTGCTGGAAATTTTACTATTTAAAGTCCTGCATGTTAAGTTATTTTATATTCTTCTTGTTGGCTTTTTGTTTGTTGAACTGCTGTGGATGGAACGGTAGAACAGCTCATCAATTCATTCAGGGCTGGTGGTTCGACTCCCCAGCATCCCCTGTCTGCATTTGAGCAAGACACTGAATCCAGAGAGCTAGATGTGATTATGAATGAAAGGGCTTTTTCGTTTCCTATAAGTTTAATACTCACGCCAAATGTTTTTTTATAGGCGTTCTGGGTAATTTAATGCACCGATAATAAAAGGCAGGCTTTGTATACGGTGACCATTTATCTGTCAACCTCTGCGGTGGTGGATACTGAGGAACCCAGTTTTGCACAGCAGAGGCTCAGTGAACAAGAAACACCAAGAGAGTGAAGGGGAGCATTCTGAAAAGGAGACACTAAAGCAGGAACTGTGCCAACGAAGTAAAACCACCTCTCTCCCTTTCTGTCTCCCTCGCTCTTCTTTCCCTTCAGTCGGGTTCAAGGAGATCTCGCTTGGAGCTGGAGAGGACAGGTTCGAGCCGTCTCCCTCCTCCAGCAGCCGCCGGGCTTCTCTGCAGCCTCCCACCGCATCATCATAATGGATTTGGGGAGTAAAAGAGTCGCTGGGATTATCGCTCAGGTCGCCCTGCTTCTCTCCAGCTCGTACGGGACAACCGGAGAAGGTGAGCAGGCTGTGCGCTTTTTTACTTTTCGCGGAGGAGACGGAGAGAGTCCGGGCAGCGCAGACACGGAGAGGAGGCTTTCAAAAGGGGCTTCATCCGTCAAACTGCCTGGATTTTGTTGTCACATTAAGCGATCTTAAAATGTTAGTCTCGTTTACTTATTATGCTAAACTGGATGAAGTAGGCAACGGGGATTATTCTCTTCTGGAGGCTGTGCGCATCGGCTGCGCATCAGCGCTCGGTTTTTAAGAAGGAATAAAAGGAGTTAATGAAGGCTGTTTAATGACAATGATGACTTAATTTCCTCTTATTTATGCGAACCAGGTCAGTTTTAACGAATTTCGTCGTTATTCTTGCAATATTAACGTTTAAGCAGAACATGCGTATTTTGGAGCCAACTTTTGTAAAACGGCCACGTATTTACTATAGTTAAATCACGTTTATTGATTTATATCCATGCTGTGACCATTATTTCTTTCTGAAGCTTTGCATTTGCGGATGCAGCTGCACAGAGAATGTTTCTAACAGTGCCGCATGTTTGGCAGTAAAAGGTATGAGCCGGGTGTTTTTACCTCTGCAGACTGAAAGAAGCATCTTTTTTAATCCACTTCATCCACTGCGTCCATAAAACAACGGCATCTCTTTGTTTTCTGGTAATTCGGTGCAGCATGATGAGCATTCTGGATCTGTTTGTGCTCACACACTCCAGAGAACGCGAAGGTGTGTGAGAGAGACTTAAGAATTGTGGGTGGTTTGCCACTGAAAGGCTACTGGCTCTAGTATGCGACCCCTGTGATGGGGAAATTAAGCAAACATTTGATCCTCTCTGAATCTTTGATATCATGCCAACTGCATGGGCAGTTACCAGACCTGAAACTGTGTGTCTGCAGTGGGGCATTGCTGTTATTCTTTCCTGCCTGAGAGAGGAGGGGAGAAGGAGAAGGGAGGGAAAGCCAAGGACAGAGATGGGGAGAAACATAGAGAGGAGAGAAATTGAAATGATTTATGCTTGTGTGTGACCTGCAGAGTAATGTTTCCACCTGCTCCTTTTCTGATTTCTTCTCTCTTATCTGCTTCTTTCCCTCTGTCTAGTCTCTTAGCCAGTCTTTTTTCTTTTATCATCTTTTCTTTTTGTAACCCACATTTACTACAAACATACTGACCATCCACACTTTCTTCAAACCCAGTGAGCTTTTTTAAATTCTAGTGGAGGGCCCAGTGTTTCAAAAAACACCAAATATGTGACGCTTAAATGTGCATACAGTAAAATGGTGCACAAAGTGCACATTTTTATGAGAGAATGGTGTAATTATGAAAGCATGGAGTCTTCGGTTTGAACACTTCAATACATCTCGAAGATGAGATGCACATCGCCTCCGGACAGAGTGGAATTAAACAATCAGCCTCCTTAATGCACATGGCCTCATGATGCTTTGATGAGAAGTGGGAAATAAATCTTCTATGACAAAATATCCTGTTTGTCCATGCTCTCTGGAACAATACATAAAAGTATTTTCTGATCAGTTCAGTTTTATGATATGACATCACTTTGGTTAAGTTTAACAGTAGTTACAGTGGGTTTAGGCACAAGTCAACTTGGTTAGGGTCACAGACAGATCATAGTTTGGGTCAAAGCTACAAGGACTTTGTCGCTTCCTGCTTTAATTTGGCCACTAAAGGGCCTTTTCACATGAACATAAACAGGAAAGGAGGACAGCCTTAGTTTGGGAGGTGCAGCCTACATGTTGGCTCGATCCAGAGTTATCACTCTGCTCCGTGAATCTTTGCAGAGACATTTATGTTTATCTTCACAGACGTTTAATTCAGCTTTATGCTTTAGAATCTACAATTCTTTCACTGCCTCCAGCTCTTTAAGAGATTTACCCATCACACCTGTTCGGTGACAGACGATTGCGGCATTAAAATGAAAAATTAATTTACAGATACTGTATGTTTAGCAGCTTAGGAGATATTTAAAATTAGCACTTAAAATAAGAATTCTTTGCAGATATTCAAATTGGTTCTCATGTAGCTGTGATCAGAGAAAAGCCTTCATAATATCAGGTGACACTGATTTGCCAGAAATTAATATTTAAGGTTAATAAATAGGCTCAATGCAATGGTTTTATATCGGTGCAGTTCTAGTTGCAAAGCCTCCTGCTGCCGGTGTCTTATTTTTCCTGGCACGGACCATGAATCACAGCAGTATAATAAGTTAAGACTGCAGAGGTGGGGACATCCCAGCTGCAGGTCTCAGACTTCATATCTCCATCTCCCCTGGAGACAGTTCAGTGTTCATCATGAATGTGCTATTAAATGACAACAAAGTAGAAATGCATATTTTAGCAGCCACAGATGGCGCTCTGATGACTTGTTAGGCAGAGCGGTGAGCCAGTGATGTTCACTTCAGATTCAAGGAAGTCACTGTGTGAAACAGCTACCCGCAGGGCCATAAAGTCACCTTGTGTTCAATCTCCTCCCAGTGTTACAACATGAAAGAGTCGCTGTGTGTTTAGCAGCTCAGAAACCAGCAGCCAAATGACTAAAATGTAAATGCCAGTGTGCCTTAAGCTCATATAAACCATGGTTTTCTTTATAGTCATTTGCGCTGGAGGTGAGTTGTCAGTGTTAGTGGGAAAAAGTGAAATGTTTTGTATACTTCATTTCTCATGGAAAGCAAAGAATGATTTCCTAAAGGTCTGAAAAAAACCATTAGCAACATGTCTCGTGGCTATAGTGATTCAGTTTTGTTGTTTGTCAGTTTATTTTCCTAGTTGTGGACATACAGTAAGTGGCTCGGATAAAATGCTACAACAGCATTTTGTTGAAATAGGGTGGCTGGGCTGCTGTAACTCAGGTGAAGCAAAAGGTTGGCCATTTATCACAGGGTTGCTAATTCAGTCTGCAGCCTCGTGTGTACGTGTTGGAGAGTAGTGTAGTGCCCAGCTGACAGCTGTAAAAGTAAACTGCCTGGTATATGGAGAACATGACAGGCTTATTAGGGCTTACAGGTGGGTTGTTCCTGTCAGTTTTGTCCCTGTAAACTGATGCTTTGTCCTTTGTCACGATGCAGAGCAATGCAGGTTTCCCAGCATCTGAACAGGAAAAGTGTCAGGAACTTTGACTGTAAAGCGTGTGAGAACAGAGTTGACTCCCACACGCTGCCAAAGTCATTATCGCAGAAACAGTGTTCCAGTTGAAAGACCAGCTGAGGAACATTGATTTTTCACATGCAAATCTTGATTTCTGTGTATGGTAACTATGGTACAGTGTGATTAACATAAGGGAAATGCTGTGGCTATGGTTGACAAAAAGGCAAACATTAATTGCAGGTCTGTGATGGAATGCAAACTTTTGCATGAAAATCAGGCGCTCTACACGTCCATTTACCACCATAACATCTATACGCTCATTGGCACTGTGCTGCATTAAGGACACGCTGCTTCCTGCATTAATGAATCAGATGCAGAGGTGCAGCCAGTTTGGAACACTGGGCTGATCAACAACTTGATGGAAGGGTGAAGGATGATCTTAAATGTATAGTAGAAATAACTGTTACATGCTCCTTCCTCTCGTCTTCTGCCAGTTTGCCTCTATGAAAGACACTGACTGTTGTGTGCTTTGTATTGTACAAGTCTTGGTAGTGAGAGTGTGGAGGTGCTGGTGGGAGTGTGTAGCAGAAACTCCCTGAATAACAGCATTGGAGGTTTGTTTCATTGTTCTTCACACAGAGACCCTGGCAATACTGGTTATGTTTCTTCTTTCTTTAATGTTTACTTGTGGTGTTGTGTCTCTAAATGTTTTAATGCCGTATGACATGTCATGTTTAGATTTATTTAACTGTTCTGTTGAGTACTGCAGTGCTTTGAAGGTAATACTGTACTAATTACTGGATTTAATAAGCTTTGCTGTACATTTAGTTGGTGGCTTTTCTAGGCTGCCTTCAGAAACCCCCTGATTCTTTGATTAGTTTCTTTTTAACTCGCTTTCATACCTGAACTGCTCCAAACATGCCAGGAGGATTGTTGTTGTTTAGTCGTGTGAGAAAAGCATACTTTAAATGTTTCCCTTTGTAGCCTTCAGTAAATGTTGTATTGCTAAAGTAAAGTTGGACTAAGAATGTAGAAAGCCTTTACTTTTACTTTAGAGTGAAACAGAGCAAAGTGTTACAGAATACACGTAGGTAATTTAGCACTTATGAGAGCCCATACTGTTCTAATGTGTACTCTAGTCCCTCTAGTCCACAACCACACATATTGTATGTTGTTAAGTCTAAAATAATACACTTCATTTCCCAGGATGTCTCAATATTCTTCTCAGTGGAGTTTTCTCTATTTTATACAGTAGCTACATGAGTAGGTGGATGGAGTGAATCTGAAGAAGTAATGAACTTCCAGTGGAGAAAAGTTAAGACTATAGACTAAAACAAACCTCATAGTGTGCTCAATTGTTTGAATTATAATAAAGCTTTTGGGTGCAGGATTGGTCTCCCACATCTACTTTACTGAGTTCCTTAGTACACGATTGCTGAACACTGGTGCAAAGATGCTGATTCTTGCTGTTAAATTTTGTGGTGCTACAGCAAAACCTCACCATACATTAACTGTTGATGTCTGCAATTGCTGAATGACTGTCTACACAACCCTATACATTCAGTCAGGTAACCACTGGGGTATGAATAATGCACCATCAAGCAAAAGCTGCACTGCCTGTCATTGTGGTCAGCAGTGTTGGATCATTTTGTTGATTTTTGTCTTTAAGGTTATTAAAAGTACAGTTTAAAACTATAAAATTAAATCAAAGTAAATAATATGATAAAATTATAATACAGTATTGTCTCTAAGTGTCAGTGCTGTGATAGACTGGAGACCTGTCGAGGGTGGACCCCACCTCTCACCCAATGTAGATATTAAATAAAGAGAGATAATAATGATAAATAATGGTTGGCTGAGTGGTGGATGGATGAATGGATGTTTATTGCACAACAGTGATTGATGTCT